GATAGAGCTGAGTTTGCCTCACCTAAGGCAATTACAGAAACATACCATCTCATCTGTTATTGATCTTACTGCTATGAGAAAGAAAGTGACCTCCGGTGTTTCAGAATCTTTGAAACAATGAGTCTAGTATCTTCACTGAAAAGCTAAATTTCAAATAGGAGCATAGACACCAGATAATTGTATTCACCATAATGGGGACCACGCTTTTATGTTTGTTTTTACAAATAGCAGCTGGGAGGATTTGTTATTTCACTTTGGAGTGTCAGGTGATTTAATGATCATGATAGCATTCACAGTAATAACAGTCACACAATGAGGAATGAATACAAATCTAGCATTCTACAGTTTAAATGTTGTAAGAGAGGAGATGAAATGGTAACAATTAAAATCATTAGTGAACATGTTACTTGTTGGGTGATTCTTTGCAAGGTATTCAATGAATGAAAATGAAATGAATGAATGAATGAATGAAAAATAAGAATAAAAATTAGCTCATTCATAAGCCTTTAAGTACTCGATAATATTCTTTGCTGTATAACCAATCATAAAGTTTCTATGGCAGTATAAACCTTTTTAAGATCAGAGGAATGACAGTATTTTGAATAAGAATGAACATGCAAAATGAATGTTGTCTGTTCTGAATGAGACATGCAAATAATGTTGTCTGTTCTGCATAATTCGTATTAATGTCCTTAGGACCTTCATCATCATCATTATCAGTTAGAGTGGGCAAGTAGGTATTGCATGAGACTAAATGATAGTTCTAGTTCTGACAAAATGCTAATAATGACTATTCAAAGACAGGGAAATTTACTGTACAAATTGTTCTATTGTTACAATGGAGTGATAGTTATACTTTATTTTCATTTAGTGACATCTTATAGAATTGTTTATTTTTGTTCATATGGTTACTTGTTCTGCTCTTTCTGCTGAAGAAATTAAACATGTTCCAAAATGTATTTTAAAGATTTGACAGATATATTAATTTTGAAAATCAACTAATAATTAATGCACACTTCAAAATGCATTGCACTGACATAGAACTTGATTTACTATAACTAATAAGTAAATTATGAAGAATGAATCCAATTAGAGATTCTTAACACAAGTCTCTATGTGTTATTCATGAACTATGGATCTGCTTATGTTTCAGACAGTAATGTATAGGAAAATGTTTATAGGACTCTTACACTAGAGAAAGCTCATATTTTAAAAAGTTAAATTTACAAATATCGAATTATTTAATCTCTGTTTCACTACTAAACTTCAAGGTGTGTAATGAATTTATATATGTATTTATTCTATTAGTGTCCTTTTCATAAGGCGTGTGCATTTATGATTGTTAATTTTATATTAAACTTATAAATTCTATAGTGATCTTTAACCTAAGTTAGAATAAATACCAATGTACTCTTCTGTCGATTGAAAAACATAATTGAAACAACATTCTATCACTACCATACTTAGAGATTAGTTAATTTATACTTTCTGTGGAACATTTCTATTTAAGACAACCTTCCATTTGAAATTAAGCAAATTTTCTTTGTCCCCTATCCTTTGTTTTCTTGCAGAATTGATTCTTTAGTCTTAAAAACCAAAGATCAAGAAAAAGGAAAATATTCAAGAGATAAAGTGTAAATTGAGAAGAAGAATTGATTATATAAAATCCAGCAGTGACATTTGCATATTTATGTGATATTTAAGTATTAAGTCTTTTGTCATAGTTTTGTCTTAAATTATACTCTTTCCTTGTCTACTTCTTGAGGTTATTTTCATGGCACTATGGATTGAAATCCAAGTTTCATACATGCTAGGCAAATAGTCCAACACTGACTTAATTTCCAAACATTTTTGTTTTAGTTTAAGAGGTCTTGTTACGTTACTTAGGTTGGCCTTGGACTTACTATATAAGCCAGGCTGGCCTGAACTTGAGATTCTCCTACCTCAGGCTTCCAAGTATCTGGTATTAAAAGTTTGGACCACCAGGCCAGGCCCATATCAAGTTCTTAATTCTTAACAAAAACAGCTGTTCGTTAAAACACTTACACAGGACCACTGTATAGGCTGACTAGACTCCAGTGGACATATTTATACTGAATGACATGTGGGTATAAACACCTGAATGAATAGGACTCAGCATGTATGGCAGAGTGCATAGGGTTTGGTGGGGGGATGGAGGGAGGCATGGATGGGGGAGAGGGTCTGGATTTGAGTGGGAAATGTATAAAATTTTAAAAGCTCAATAAAAAACATAAATATTGAACTTTACTGGGCTGAGGTCATTATATTTCTGGACAAACAAAGAGTCAGAAAAATATTAAAAAAGAAAAACAGGACACATGCAAAAAATTTGTACTTGTAAGCATTTTATTTGAATACATAAACAACCATACTCTAACAGATACACACACACACACACACACACACACACACACACACACACACACCATATCACACATAAACACAGAACCATACACAAATTACTTATCTTTATTAGAACACACAAGAGAAAAAGGAACAAAACAGGTATTTTTGCAAAAATTTGATAGATTATATAGAGTACATAGCAAACTGGTTTTTTTGACTCATAAAAATATGTCCCTCAAATCAAAGGGTGCTTAAATAACTTATTTAGGTCACATAAACACCACATAGTCATCCCAGGCATGCTTGCATAGCTGTTTTGCTGCACACAGTTTATTAAGGTGTCTGCTCTAGAATCATAGATATTATTTAATGGTGGATCTAGTTTAATTTGGAAAATATTTTTCAAAATTATCACACTTTAGTGACGATGTGATTTTGGAATGTAAAGACAGAGCTGAGCATGTAAAGATTTTGCAAATTTTCATTGTTTTTCCTAATATCAAAACATGAGCCACATCGACTTCTTTGTATGTTATAAATAACAAACTTTTAAAAATATTTTATTGAGCTTTTTTACATTTCATACAACAGGTTTTAATCAAATTAAGACACTACTCTTCCATCGTATGTCCTCCCACCCCCACATTGGGCCTCACATATTCTGTCATACATGTTAAGTCTCATCCCGTAAAGCATTTGCATTTCCCTTGCACCACTTTGGGCCCTTGTCTGATTGAATTGGCGTGGGTCTTTTTCTTGATGTCACCATTGCCACAAGTTCATACAAACAAGCTTCCAGTGGCCTGAAAGCCATGGAACCTAAGTTCATGAACCAACCCTGGCTCTTACAATCTTTCTACTTCCTCTTCTGAAATGGTCCCTGAGCCATAGGTACGTGAGGTTTAATATAGGTTTCCTATCAAAGAAAACAAACTCTGCAGTCTCTTATTCTCTAAAACATAACCAGCTGTGACCTTCTGTGTGCATCACACTCTGTTGTATAAGGAAGCTTCATTGGTGAGCGTATTGGCATGCATTGGTATTCTCTCCAACCCGTTCCACTATATTCTGTAAACCTTAGGTGTAGAGGCTCCACTCTAGATATGTCACCTAGGGGTGGGCATCTCTCAAATGTGTGACCAGTCATGGAACTCTGCAGTAAACTCCATGTGTTGCAAGAAGAAGCTTCTTTGATGAGTGATATACAATATACTTGTCTGTTAATATAAGGATCCATATTTAGGATACAGTAAGAAATTTCATTTGTCTAGAGATATGACAGAGATATGGTTTTCTCTAGGATCTATGACATCTCCAGCCATGTATATTTGACTATAATTGAAGGGCCACACATGAGTTCACTCCCTGTGAAAGGGCTTTAAGTCCAATTAGATAGCTGTTTATTACTCCCCAGATAACAGTGCCACTACTGCACCGATAGTAGTTTGTTGTACCAGTCATTATAGATATTCAGCATTAGGACTGGGACGGACCATTGATTGATTTCTCTCCCTTAGTAGCTTACATTGTATCCTCTAGAAATATGAGAGCTAGTCTTCAGGGAGAAGGGTTCCAGGTCAATTCCTGCTCTATTGTTCCAAGAGCTGTGTCTGAATTATGTCCTCTTTTCAGGAGTAGGATCTTACCTTCAACTTCTGGGAGAAAACCAAGAGCTCTGGCATTAGTTCCTGTTATTTTGAGAGTCTTTTAGACTACTCTGACCAACCACTCAAAGAGAGGTCTCCCCTGTCTGGCACTGAACTCCCTGTCATACACCCCCCCAGGTATACACATAACACTAATGTTTAGACACCATATGTGTATTTCTCTGGGGATTCCCAAGTCAACACATTTCCCTCTGTCTTCCCAAGCCACCCACTATCCATTCATCCCTCCTCTCTCTCTCTCCCCATCCAATCTCCCTCCTCCCTTCCCAGTCCAAGTACATCCAATACACTCCCACTTTCCCTACCTTGCCCTGGTAATATCTGTTCCCTGCTATCTCCCTCTTTCAGGTTTTTCTTTCCCTTTCCCTTTGTGTTTCCTTTCCATTTTCCTGGCTCCTCCTTTTACATCGGGATATATACTCACATATAAGGGATGGATGTTATGATCTGCAAATGAGGGAGAACATATGTCCCTTAGTTTTCTGAGGCTCTGTTACTTCACTTAGTATATGTCCCTAGTTCTTTACATTCACCTGAAAATTTCATAATTTCATCTTTTCTAACTACTGAGTAGAACTGCATTGTATAAACATACCTCATTTTCATTATGCATTTGCCAGTTGAGGGACATTTAGGTTCTTTCCATCTTTGCTAATGTGAAAAGAATACCAACTAACATGGATGTACAGGTATATGTGCAACTTGACGCAGTCACTGCCTGCCTCAAGAAACGTCTCCTGAGTGATAGTCATCATGTTATCTTTAATCATTGAACATAAAAAACAATAGGTTTATTGTTGACATGTTCATAGATACATCACTATAATTTATTTTTATGGCATCCTCCTCCACTGACCTCTCCTTTCTGCTTCAATAGCCCTCCCTCTAGACTCAAGTCACATGTATTTCAATACCCTCTCATTTGCCTCACAAGAAGGATGAGGTATAGTGAAAGAATAATGGGCCATGAGAGAGAAGGAAGACCTAGATGTGAGTTTACAACTTTCTGTTTATTTCCTTAGAAGGGAAAACAAAGATCTTGAGTCATCCATCAGCCAAGTCACTCCACATCACTTGGTACCATCTACTGGAAATGCACAGAACAAGAATCCTAAGATGATTCTGGAGACAAATTATACTGCTCCAAATGAGTTCATGTTTATTGGATTCACAGATTATTTCCCATTCAGAGTCACACTGTTCTTGGTGTTTCTCATAGTGTACACGTTAACCGTGGTGGAAAATATGGGCTTAATAATCCCAGTTAATAGTGATTCAAGACTTCAAACTCCCATGTACTACTTTCTCAGCAATTTGTCTTTCTTGGACTTCTGCTATTCTACAGCAATCGCTCCCAAAATGCTGGTAAGCTTCTTAGCTTCCAGGAAGAGAATTTCTTTCTATGGCTGTGCTATTCAGATTCTTTCCTTTGCATGTTTTGCAGATGCTGAGGGTCTTATCCTGGCTGCGATGGTCTATGACCATTATGCAGCCATCTGTAACCCACTGCTTTATTCTACGCTGATATCTCGGAGAGTCTGCATCAGCATGGTTGTGCTGGCATATTTTGCTGGGAGTATGACTTCACTGGTGCATCTGTCCCTGACATTTAGGCTTCCATCAATCACTTTTTCTGTGATATCCCACCTCTCCTGGCTTTATCATGTGCAAATACCCACATCAACGAACTTCACCTTTTTGCCTTATGTGGCACAATTAAGACCAGCACTTTCGTGGTCATCCTTGTCTCCTACTTCTACATCCTGATTACTGTTCTGAGCATCAAGTCTTCAGGAGGCAGAAGCAAAACCTTCTCCACGTGTGCTTCCCATCCCATGGCCGTCACCTTATTTTATGGAACTCTCTTTTGTTTATGTACTTGCGTCCCACCACTGGCTATTCCACAGACACTGATAAGGTATTTCCATTATTTTACACTGTCATCTTTTCTATGTTGTATCCAATGATTTACAGCTTCAGAAACAAGGATGTGAAAAATGCCCTCCAAAAATTGCTTGAACAAAAGGGGATCTTAAAATGGCCACGAATTCAAGTTGCTTATCAGTTGCTTTCGCAGTCATGTTTCACATCTTCATTATAAATTTTACTAAACACCTAACCTGTAAAATGTCAATTTATCACTCTAGTTCCCATTGGGTACATGGACATGTAGCATTATTAATTCTTCCACTGAGTCCAGTTGGTATATTTTTCTATATATTTACACCTATATATTTATGCTACATCAATTAGCAATGCATAAAATGCTTACAAAACATGCTAATAGGTCAATCTGTTAAAGTTCCTCAGCTGAGTCTCACTCTTCCCAGGAATGTCAAGCTGACTGCCAAAGCTAGTCATCACATGTCTATTGTTAACACAGAGAAACAGAGAAACGTCAGTGCTAAACCATAACCTTTCTTTTTACAAAGATCACGTTAACATCACAATATAAAACATGATTTGATGTTAGAAGTTCAACAGTCTTTAAAAATTTCACACTTTGAGGGTTGGAGAGATGGCTCAGCATTTAAGAGCACTGGCTACTCTTCCAGAGGACCCAGGTTTGTCTCCCCCCACCCACATGTCAGCTAACAACAAACAGCAACTCCAGTTCCAGGCAATCTGACATCCTCTTCTGGTCTGTGGGCATTGGCACTCATGGGTACAATTACACATATGTAGAGAAAGCACTCACAACACATAAAATAAAATAAATAATGAATTCAAAGAACATTTTTTGTATATCAAACTTTCAAAATCAAAGGTGTCTTAATAGTGGGATTCTATAAAATAAAAAAGTCAAATACTTAGTAGAAAAGGGAGAACACAGGGCCTGAAGGCAACCACACTTAAGCAAAACCAAAGTTCAGCAGTGCAATTACATATCTTATAGTTCATCTGAACAGTCTTCTAGTCTTCAAAGTTTGGGCAGCTACCTTCTCCAGCTCTGCCATACTCAGCATATAGAGATTGTATAATAGGCTCTGTACATCTCCACTCCACATCTACTGATATCCTTGACAGATGTCTCAAAGTCTGAGTATCTTCAATATCCTGCTGTCTCCAATGTCACTGAGGATATACTTTTACCCCTGGCTTCTCTTGGTCTCCTTTCATGGACTCCCACTCTAGTACCTGGTACTGAGCCTTAGTTTCTCTCCATGACCACTTCAGTTGTACAGCTTTCATGCTGTTCTATGTGGGGGACTCTTACATATCACTAAGTTCAGCTGCCACAGCTTGTGTACTGACCCTAAGGATTACTTCTCAGAAAATTTCACCTCAGTGACACTGATCTCATATTAATCACAACCAGTCTTCAGTCCCAGATGATCACATCCTTTGTCACAGTAACCACAGGTATCACGTCTAGAAAATGAAGTGATATGTAAAATGATTTATTCTAGTAAAATGATTTAACTTTTAAATAAAAGTAGCACATGCAGATTCCTGATAAAATTTTTACTTCTATCTGAAACTTTACAAACCAGTCCTCCATTGTGTACATTTTTCCCAGCATAATATTCCAAGTTCTCCCACCAGTTCATTAACCTCTGAGCACTCAATGATTTTGCTGGCCCAATGTTCCAAATATTTCTATAATCCTCCCCCAAAACAACATGGGCATGTACACCTCAGCAACAGCCACTTTCTAGTAACAATTTCTGTTCTACTTTGCTTTCTTTTGCTGTGACAAAACATTGACCAAACCAAGGAGGACTTCAGCTTACTGACTTACTGTCAAGCTCATGTTCAGCTACCTTTCTAATACAATACAGATCCTCCACCCACAGTGGACTAGACCTTCCTACATCAATTAGCAATCAAGAAAATGCCCCAAAGGGTGTGCATACAGTCCAATCTGTGGAAGGAAATTCTTCAATCTTTATTCTTTCCCAGTGTGTCAAGTTGATAATGAAGAATAGCCATCATAAGGGAAGTATATAATTATGCATGATGAGATTAGGTGATAAATACATATAAATGCAACATTAGATCATTGTAGCATTTGCAATGCATATGCAAATTAATTATCAACAAGAACATACCACCTGATATGCTGCATTAGATCATTTAAGTCTTGATTAACAATGAAGGGTATTGTCCCCTACTGAACTACAGAACAGTGTTCTGCAGGGGAATAGGACAAATGACCATGGTCCTTATTAATCCAACACCACAGTCTTGAAATTTGGCTTGTATATGAGGACACCTGTTTTCTTAGACCCTGCAGTTGCATTCGTGGTCTCTAATGGAACATTAGCAAGGTATTTTAATTTAGAGATCATACCATTTGCTTTATAACAGCATCATTTGTGGGTTGCAGTGATGGCTCAGCAGTTAAGAGCACTGATGGCTCTTGCAGAGGACCCAAGTTCAATTCCCAGCACCTCCATGTGGGCAGCTAACCACCATTCAAAACTCTAGTTCCAGGAAATCAGACTCCCTCTTCTGACCTCATTGGGCATTGCATGACACGGGTGCACGTACACACATACAGGCAATACACTCATACACATAAAAATAACATTGTTTAAAAAAATATCATTTGTAAATGGCATCATTTTCACTTTTTCATCAGTGAAAGTGGGTGTCCACTGAACAAGGACCTGAAGGCCTGGCAGTCCTGTAAGTCATTTCAGTCGCTGGAGAACAGAGGATGCTAATGATTCAACCTTGGGCAACTAAGATTCACATGGATACAAGAAGCTGCGGACTCTGCCCCTGTAGAGTGGAAACTATCGTACAGCATTGCTCTTCCCAGTAATAAGTCCTTAAGGACCTATGAAAACCTTGACCTCCTCAGCAGAAGTGTTTTATTCTGAGCTTCAAAAGCTTGAAAGTAAGGAAGTGTTAACATATGTTCACTTTAAGATATATTTGCTGTTATCTCAACATAAAAACATTGTCATCAGTTGTCCAGTTTTAGCATCATTCTCCTACAGTCAAAAGTATTGTTATAATACAATAATGATCATGTTCTAATCTATGCTTTATCATTAACTCTCTTCATTCCATGCAACAGGGTCATTATTTATAAATACAATATTATGTAAAACCAATATCAAGTATTTTTTGTGCAGAGCATGTGCGTGAATGTTATGATTTAATATTTGTTTCTTATATTACTTTAAAATATTTACACATTTATGCAACTTTTAAAAAATGAATATTAGAGAGGTATTATGTATAATCTTGCTTTCTAATTTGTGGGAGATGGGCTTGAGCCTAGAGTGAAAGTCTTATTGACAGCCATACAGCAGGCCTGAGGCAACGCCCAACCGCTGGAGCCATAAGGAATGCCTTGTGACATTTGGTCCCATTGGCAGATCATGAGACTGATGCCTAGAGCTTGCCACTCCCTAATCACCACCCTTGGAATCAAAAAATTGCAACACTCAGATATTGCAACAGTCAGAGTCACGTGGTTCCCAGGAATCCAGGCTCTGTAATCTGAAACCCAGTATGCTAATGAGGCATCCTACTTGCTGTGCTGTGATTGGACCACTACCCCTATATAAGCTTGTGCCTTCCTGCAATAAAGCAGATCTATGTCACTGAGCCTGGTCTCCTGCATCTGAATGCGGAGACACTGGTGCAGACTCCTCACCAGCCCTGGGGTCCTAATCGGAGGAGTGATCAGAGGAACTAAAAGAGCAGGAGAGCACCCATAGCCAGAGGAGAGCAGCCACAGCCGGCGACCACACTAATTCATAAGATAACAGTATTTTAAGGTCATCCAGACCTATTTTTCTTTTAGGAATGTAATAAAATATTCTAAGAATTATTTCCTATTTTTCTTCAGTTTGTTTTCCATCCTGTCTGTAACTTAGTTGGTGCATGTGCACAGTTCAGAGATGAAAGGAGTTAAGACTTTGGTGCAATACTATTCCTTCCCACAATGCTTCTAGTCTTAATCATGATGTGTCACTTTAAGTTAGATAATTGCAGCTACAATTTTGTCTTACTCAGTTTGTGCTATTTTCATTAATAATAGGTTTTATATGTTGCCTTAGCCTCAATGTTGAATTTTATCTTTCTTTGAATGCTGTTTGACTTTGTGCTTCTTTGTCTTTTATTTTTTTTAATTATAAAATAGTTAATATATGTTTTTTAAGTTGCAAATGCATTTATAAACAAATTTACAAAATTATGAATGTATAAACATATTTGACCAGATATGCTTATTTTGATAGAATAAGAAGAATGACTCAGTACATAATTATAGTTACATTCAACACATTATAAAAGTTTGTTTATAAATATTTGGTAGAACAAACAGAAGTTTTTAGCAAAGTCAAATGAGGGGCTAGTGAGCATTAATTTGTATGGATGAGCAGCTCTGTTCTTATGTATGGGGGTACCAGTATTTTGATACTCAGCGCATCTTCAGGCTTTTGCTAGGCTCTTTTTTCTCTGGGATTTCTCTCACTATATTCTCATTTGATGATGATGATGATGATTTATTTTTGAGTATCCTTTTGGAATCACAATAAAAAGTTATAGAGATGTAGGACCATAGAAGAAGGGTATTATTAAGGGAGAAAGGGGGGAAATGGGGGCATATTAAGTGGGAAAACCATGATGGAGGGGTAAGACAATGCGAAAGATAAATAATGCCTAGCTAGTTTTGAAAACCAGAGGGAACCATATTACTCCTACAACTTACTGACAAATTATACATAGCAGATCAAGAAATATATGTCTAGGTAAGGTTTATCTGAGAACAATTGGTCTTTGCCCAAGATTTATTGACATGACACACAGTAATTAAAAGTACCAGACTGGTGGAACTAACCTTCTTGAATGCTTAACAGATATACATTGAGGCCTATAATAATTTGGTCAGAGGGACATAAAGGACAGTTTTTGCCCCTTGCCCTCCTAGGTTGACTAGTTCCAGGGGACTATGAGCATCTCTCAAAACATCCTGTAATTGTGGTGGGTTACCTGTCCTCTTGACTAAGGAGGCCGAGAAGACCCCACCAGATGGATTTGAACCAGTGTCCAGTCTACAAAAGAGGGTCAACACAGAGGAATCATTTCTTCAATGCTTCCAAGCGAAGCCAACCGTGGTCGAGCAGGACCTTTGACTTA